GTAGCTTGATAGGTTGAACGAGTCCATCAATGAACCTCCGTAGGAAGCAGAAGAAGAGCATGACGGGCTAGATCCACAAAACGGGTCTTATACTGAGTGACTAACATGCTGCCCTGTTGGAGACGCTCAAACTGCTTGCAGTAATTCTCTCTCAGTGTGATGGGAAGGAACTTATCTAGAAATAGCTGCGAGAACTGCTCCCAGGTAAGTGCAGGCGAACCAACTGGTCTAGTAAATACATAATCTCTCTACCACCTCTTGGCGGAACCCGTCATCTGAAATACAACAAAATCAACCCCATTGGTCTCAACTATACCCATGTTCCGCAATACTTCATAGCAGCGGTCAAGAAAATCCCGTGGGTCCTCAGAAGGTGTACCACTGAAATGGATTGGAAATAGCTTGGTAAACTTGTCCAATCTCAACAATGCCTTAGAAGATAAAGCAGGCATATCACCAGCGTGTGCTGCAATAATTGGTTGAACTTCCCCAACTGGATGGGCTACTGGAGCCTGATACTGGAGATGTCTGCCCCGGAGCGGGAGTAGTGGGAGTTTGTGCTCCTCCCCCAGCCTGTGAGATGGCTGGTGCCATTGGAAATGTACCATTCTGGGCCACACCCTCCATTAGGCTCACCAAACGGACTAGAGCATCCTGAAGTACTAGAGTAGCTATGAATCCTTTCGAAACTTGAACTTGTCCAACCGATACAGTCTGAAGTTCTACAACAGAACTGGAGTAGCTATGAATCCTCCTGAAGATCCACTTGAGGTTCTACAACAGGTGTTGCTGCTCGAGCTCTAGACCGAGCTCTACCTCTGCCTCTGCATTGGCCTCTAGCATGACCTCGGCCTCGACCTCTACCCCTGGTCATAGTTTCCACCGGGGGCTCTGGACCTTGTCCGTCAGTAGATGTATTACGCGTTCTCACCATCTGCGAGAGAATAAGAATAGAATGGTTTAATCATCGATGACAGAATAAAATCGCATGACAGAATAAGAAAGAAGTGATATTTTTCCTAAACTTCATAGCCTCTGAGAGATAAGTACAAACGTCTCCGTACCGATCCTTCAGACTCTACTAAGCTTGCTCGTGACTCATGACCTATATAACCTAGTGCTCTGATACCAACTTGTCACGACCTAAAATTCCCACCTTCGGGTTCGTGATGGCGCCTAACATTTCACTTGATAGGCAAGCCAACGTTAGAATAATATTAGCTATTTTAAAATAATTTTTAAATTAATTAATAACAAAGAAATAAATGCGGAAATAAAGTCTTAAATGTAGTGAATAATCTATAATAATAGCGATGTCTAAATATCATCCCACAATTGGTGTCACAATTGCACAAGCTACTAGAATAATACAAATAAAGGTCTGAATGAAAATAAAGTTGTCTGAAAGAAATACACAACTATGATAAAGTGGAAGAGGACTTCAGAAATGTGAACGCCATGCAGCTATACCTCAAGTCTCCTGCGAATAGCTGAATCCGAGCAACTCTACTATACGCCGCTGGGACCAACTCCGTTATCTGTACAAGAAGAGCAGAGTATAGTATGAGTACAACCGACCCCATGTACCTAGTAAGTGCCGAGCCTAACCTTGACGAAGTAGTGGCGAGGCTAAGGCAGGCCACTTACATTAACCTGTACGCAATAACAATAATAACAACAATAATAAAAATAAAACAGGTATCTCTTTTCAACAGTTGAAGCCAACTCGGCAGTCATAACCAATTATTATTTCAATCAGTTTCCGTTGCGACGTGCAACCCGATCCCACAATATATTCATATTCAATTCTGTTGCGACGTGCAACCCGATCCCAATATATCTTTTCAATCAATTTTGTTGCGACGTGAAACTCGCTCCTCCAATATATTCATTTCAATCAATTCTGTTGCTGCGTGCAACCCGCTCCTCCAATATATTCGTTTCAATCAATTCTGTTGCAGCATGCAACCCGCTCCTCCATTATATTCACTTTCATTTCCGTTGCGGCGTGCAACCCGCTCCTCCAATATATTCATTTGCCAATTCTTATAAAAGAAATTACTCCAACAAATGCAACAATTAATAAGAAATTATAAGACAACAAGCATACAATAATTATGATTTATTAGAAATAAGTGATGACAAGTAACAATTAATTATGGAAATTAAGAATGTAATAGGCATTTTAATAATTAGTATACTAAACGTAAAGTGGCAATTAAGTCACATAAATCAAATAAGCATGTAGTAATTATAGCATGGATTCAAGGCATGATATTGAGCAAAGAACACGAGAGAAACAATTAATATAATAATTAATTCATGATTTAAAATGATTTATGATTTTTCAAGTAATTATGCAAACAATTAATTTGACGACGTATAGATACTCGTCACCTCGCCTATACGTCGTTTACATGCATTTCACATAACAAATAATTTAAGGGTTCTATTCCCTCAAGTCAAGGTTAACCACGACACTTACCTCGCTTTGCAAATAAATTTCAAGATTCCAATATACCTTTGCCTCGCGAATTCGTGTCCGAACGCTTCGAATCTAATCACAAACAATTCAACATACTCAACACGAATCGTAGGAACTAATTCTATATGAAATTATAAATTTTTCGGATTAAAATTCGAACTTTATTTTAAAAATCAACAGTGGGACCCACGTCTCAAATACCAAAAAAAACTCACAAAATTCGAACACCGGTTCCGATACGAGTTCAACCATATAAAAATTATCAAATTCCGACATCAGATTGTCTTTCAAATCCTCAATTAAAGTTTTGTTTGAAGATTTCTACCATTTTCAATCCAATCTTTACCCATTTGAACTCAACAATCTTCCCATAACCTTATTGGTACAAGCATGTATAACTAATACTCTCACATGCAAGAATCACACTCACAATCACCCATCTTTACCCAAACTCGAAATTGAAGAATAAGGGTTAGAACCTTACCTCTCGAATGAAGATCTTGTGATAATTCCTTGTTGGATTTCAAAGCTTGAACAAGATTTTTGATGAACAAAGTACTTGAGCTTCTTTCTCTCTCCAAAATACTCTCACTTCTCTCTAAAATCATCAGATAATTGCCAAAAAATAAGCCCCAAAGCTTATTTATCAACATGGGGTCGGGTTATGAAAATAAAAAAATTAACCCTCCGAAATCGGGTCTGCGGTCGCATAATGGACCGCAGAATGGGTATGCGGGTCTCACAATGCACCGCAGAATCGGTGCCCAGATATGGGCTTCTCTGGACAGGTCTGCGACTAGTTTTGCAGTCGCATAACCACTTCTGCGATCGCATAATGGTTCTACAATCGCAGATTTGGCCGCAGACTCTCATTTTGCCGGCCTTTGGTAATTTGGTCATAACTTCTTGTAGGAGTGTCCAAATGATGAACGGTTTGAAGCGCTAGAAACTAGACTCGAAGATCTTTCATTTGATAGGTAGATCATCACATAATTCCTTATATATCAGTATATATGCTCGTTCAAAGTTTGATCTTATGCGTACCCATTTGAAACTTTAGTCTATTATGAAATTTTCTAACTTGACTTGGACTTAGACCTCTCCTTAAACCCCACATCACTTATAATATGCCTCGTACACTTGTTATCATATTCAATTGGTATCCATAATATTAATAGTCCTTAAATGAGAAGTAGAGTCTGCCCCAAACACATAACATAACTTATCTCTTCTTTCACCCGTTTCAATTTTCCGAATTTTTACTAACTCCCAAAATTTTCAAAAATTTCGCGAGAGTTTCCTTTGTAACTGGGCCTATCCACCTGATAGAGAATCCCATAAACCAATTCTAACAACATATACATAATCCAATCAACGTAACACAACATAAAAACAATACTAACAGTGGCATCGTAAGCAATATATTACTAGAAAAGGAACGTCATTAATATCAACTATTCAGGTGATATGTAACTCATAGCAGGTAAAATCTCAACATATTCATAGAACACAAAAATGAACGTTTAAATTAAAGATGATATTTTTGGGTCAATCACATGCGATTTTCTAGCCTCCCCTTTTCGTGTGTTCTCTCGTTCTCTCGCCTGTAAATATATATATGGGAGTGATTGCCAATTACTTGGAGGAAAAGTTGGGTGCAAGTATGGGTAACGATCAGCTCATTCCTGTTGAGGGGATCCTGTGTAAGAGTGCGTGAGAGAAATAGTTTCTAGAGAGGAATTTTTTGAAAATGGATTGTTGTTATGGACCTTTGTCTTTTTGTGGTGATGTGTCCCAATTTTATTTGCTCTTTTTGTTGCTTTTGATTTTCTTTTAAAGGATAATGATCAAACAAAGTAAATTGCTATCCAAAATAGCTAGACAAAAATATTAATTACTCACTAATATTTATTAAAACCTCTAACTCTAAAAATTAAACTTAACTAGATTAAAGCTAATTTTTTTGGAAATTTTTCCTTCTTTGTAAATGAAAAATAAAATTATACTAAAATATGACTCTTTTATCATTTTCAGTTTTCTCAAATAAAACCTATAAAAAGGTGAGACAAAAGCTAAAATATGTTGATTAAATTCAAAAATATTTATATACTAAAGAGTGATGAAAAATTTAAATATGATGAAAAATTTAAATATGATCAAAAATTAGGTGCTCACAGCATTATCATATTGTTATTATTTTGTGCGCCTAACCACCTCAGATTAAGTCGTATGTATCGTATGTATCTAAATAAAATTTTATTTTTTATTTTTTATTTTTATAGGTTTAAACGATAATTTATTCTTTTAGACGTCAACAAACAAGTAATCATACGATGATCAACAAAAACTTGTATCTCTTCATGTATAATGATATACTCAAATTATTTTAATAATATTGATATTATTTTACAAAAAAATATGACATTGCACGGCGTACACGTGCGAGAAACTAGTTAAGCAGAAAAATATAAAAAGAAAAGAAGTCGGGGCGGATCCATCATTATTCGGGCTCCCACCAAAATTCCCTTAAACCCTCATAGCATATCTAACGTTGAGAACTACACAACTCCAAAAACAGTGCAAATGACAAACGATCAATCACAGCCGTTGATCTCGGAGATTAGTAAGCACTCGCTCGATCCACGGCCTGAATCTCCCCAACGGCGTTCCAAAATCGCCAAGGTAAACGACGACAACATCGCCGTCGACGTCGTTGAAGAGGAAGAGCAGAAAGAGTTAGTTACTAGACCAATGAATCCTAATCCTAGGCTACAGCGGTACTTGATAGCAATCGAGTACATAGGAACTCGCTTCGCCGGCGCACAGCAACAAACTAATTGTAGAACTGTCGTCGGTGTTCTTGAGGTAAATTTATCATTTCTATGTCAAATTGAGTAAGGCTTTCTAATTCTCGATAAATGCAGTAGTTGAGAAACGTTTATTCTTTTCTGTTTTGCAGGAAGCATTTCAGAAGTTTGTTGGACAGCCAGTGTCTATATTTTGCTCCAGTCGAACTGTAAGTTTGTTTTGTTTTTGGTTATTATTATTAGCTACGCCTAATCACGTGTCAATGTATTTTTATTTCCTGTTTCATATCTTGCATCAGAAATATATAATGTGGATTATCTGGAGCTCAGATGCGATATTGGTTGTTTTGAGTATTCGGAATCGTTTATGTTTTATCTTCAAAATTCAATCTTTGAATTTAAATCTACTAGATGTGGAGGTATCAATTTGATGTTAAAACTTCCTCTATACTTCCAATCATTTCCTTTCTCTTTTTATAAAGTACCCAGCTTTTATTTTGTGCTAATATTTTTTTTGATCAAGTTTATTTTGTGCTATTTGAGGAATAATAATATTGTGAAAGGGAAGAGTTATTAGGCGCTTACCCTTTCTCATCTACTCTCCCCCCTTCTCTTCCAGGTTACCACCTTTTTTTTCAGTGTTCATATTTACTTTTTTTCAATCTTGACTATAGAAATCAGTTGTACTTTTTCCATCTCTACTGAGTCAATGTTTGAAACCTGTAAATGAAGTCACTGGTCAAGGTCAGGTGACAAAGAAATGTTTTCTGTAGGGGTTGTTATGGAAGAGGCACAATTTTGCCCAAATGGAAAAAGTTTTGAAATAGTGACCCAATAATATGCTGTTTGGCTATGCATTTTCAAAAGTTATTTTTTCTTTTCAAAAAAGGACTGTAATTTTCCAGTTTGATAATGACATCCTTTTACTAATTTTCTTCTTTCCTTTTTAATGGGTCTCATTTCCTGTGAAAGATGGTTATTTATTTCTATCCAGCTCACAGGAAATTTCAAAATGTTAAATATCAATTCATACTTACAGCTTTTCTGGATTTATCTTTAGGATGCTGGAGTACACGCTTTATCAAATGTTTGCCATGTAGATGTTGAAAGGATAAGCAAAAGGAAACCTGGTGAAGTGGTACTTTCTGTTTGTATTTTGTGTTATTTAGCCGTCATACTTATCTGTATACATAACTGAGTGATCAATTTTGATCTATTCCTTGCAAATATATAAGCTCTAACTAACTTCTAAGCTGTTCAGCTATGTGGTCGCATACTAAATCTTGCTAATTGAGTCTTGCACTATCCAAATAAATTGCGTTTTAAGGTTATTTGTACGTATTTATTCATTTAAGCTAGCTCTTCTAAATTTATTGCTTGCATTATTCCCGTGCAGTTACCTCCTCATAAACCTTTGGTGGTACAAAGAGCTGTGAACCATTTTTTACAGGTTTAGTTCTTCATCTAGCAAGTTCTGATTCCTGATAATTGTAATTTTGTATCATCCTCCAAAAGTCCTTATTTTGAACTTGAGTGATCTTTCTGTTATGTTTCCTTTGGGAAGTTGGTTCCCTTTTTTTGGGGTCTTTTCTTCTTTTATGTGCATATGGCGGCTCTTCAAGGTTCCGATCTTTAAATTGTCTTCTTTCTTTACAATGAATCAGCAGAGTTCTTCAAGTGTTTTCAGTAATCTCATCATTAATGCACAGCTGTAAATGTTGGACAATTTTGGTGCACTAAAGTGTGTTTCTGATAATACTCCTTGAATTAAATAGCACTTTAAAAAAAAAGTGTACTGGGTAGTATATTCACTTTAAGCTTCAAAAATTGGTCGCATTTTCTGTATTAATACACAAGTTATCACATCGCCATCATGTAAAGGTCACTTTTCAACTCATACTTGGCTCATTGTGGCTCAAATGGACAATGAGTAATAATTGGTCACTAGAAAAGCGATATGTCTGTGAAAACGCAATATTCCGTTTCCATCGAGAATTGAATTGACCTTTCCCTTATTTCGACCGGAGAATCTAACTTACTGTGGATATTCTTACCAAAAAATCAGACATTCCATGCCCTCGGAGAGTGCTTTGTCGTGCTAGGTCACTGACATATCCCTCTTTTACCAGATTTACGCAGAAAGAAAAGGTAGGAGTCCAAGTTGAAGTACTCTAATTCGACCGGTGACCAGCAGATATTAGCCAGAAAGGGCTCCTTCCCCTTCTTGCTGCCTTAGAAGCATTGGAGGGAGTTTGATAAAATGTGATGTTCCTCTTTTTTATACTGATTGCTAATAATATATTTAATCCGAATTTGCCTACGCCAAATTTCAAATTTGTGGGGATTATTGCAGAAGATGATTTGAAGTCTTACAGGAGCAAAAGGATGATCATCTTTGCTCAATTGCCGTTGGATTATCTCCTTGAATAAATGGTGATGTCCTACTCCTGCGTACAAGGAAAATAAGCATGTGATGAACAAGGTTAATGTAGGCTTTAGGGTTAAAACTAGAATTGTATCTCTGAGACGTTCAGGTGACATTTACATGGGTTCAATTACATTCAGTCAGGTATGAATCAGTATTATCAAAGGCGAAAAGCGCAAAAAGGCTCTAAGGCTTGTTGGGGCTTTTAGTGCAAAGCGCAAATAAAGTGTGGGCTTTAATGAAACAAGGCGCAAGTGGAGAAAAAGTAAAAATATGTATATGTAGTCCAAGACCAATAATTATAAGCATGAATAACAAATATATGGACAAAGGAATTGAAATTTTTTTTTACGATAGAGTGAAATATCAATTGTTTAGTGTCGGATTTTCAGGATTACACTCATTGGCAAGGAAAAGTATGTCTTAGAGCCTTGATGAGACACTGAAGTGCCCGCAAAGCGAAGTGAAGCGCTCAACATGTTCTGAGCCTCGCTTTCAGGCTTAAGCGCGCCTTTGATAACACTGGTATGAATTGTGTCTTTTATGATGGGCATGAAGTTAAGTCAAATCCTTGTTCTTCAAAGTCCGAACGTCATCAAGTCCCTGTAGGGAGAGAAGACATACAGAGGGAATGGCAAAAGGGAGGAAGAGTAGCAAGGTAACTTCTTTTGTTTTAATCTATGTTTGGTTGGGGCAGAAATAAGAGGGTCGGAGGAGTGGAAATAAATGTGGAGGGGTAAGAGCTATTTCCCATGTTTCGAGAAGCAAGTGAGAAAGAAGCCGAAGTAAAAGAGGAAGGGATGGGAAATCCTGCATGCCAACTTACTCATTCGTTCCAATCGACTAGAAGTAAATTTTGGATACTTCAGCCATGTAAACCACTCATTTCTCTCTCCTCTTACTGTTACCTTCCCTTTCCTGCAACAAGACATTATATTAATCAAACTGGTATTAAGTCTGTTAAATTACATTAAGAGAAACTCGGATACACATGTTTTGGTGGTAGTGAAATCAATTGTCATGATACCAAAGCCTTATATCTCTGTTTTATCTGGAAGTACTCACTATTTTTGCTCGTTATGGTTTGCTTGCAGAAGAACGGGGGTGATATAATGGTTATTGACGTTCGGCGTGTTCCAGCTGATTTTCATGCCAGATATAAAGCTCAAGAACGCACGTAGGTATCAATATCTTGATCATGTAGAATTAGTTTGCGTACGGAATCTGTACATGCTCAAATGGTTATGTGACATGCCATCTCTTAAAATTGATTTTCTGATGTGTGCACGGAAGGTTAGCCCCAGCGAATAGTCTTCTGTCCGGCTAGGATGATGTTACTCCTGATTGTTCTTTATCCATTTTGAGAGTTGATGTTTAGCAGATTAATGGTGATTTTAATCTAAGTAAATTTTTGTTCCCATAAGGTGCTGCAAGTCTGAGACACTCAATATTTGGGTACCCACTTCACACACTTAACTACATGCTAAATCTTGGTTTTGCCAGTAATTCCGTGTGACACTTGTGATTATGAGATGATTGAGAGTTGGTCCTTGAGAATCTTGTTTTAGGTACTTCTACCGCTTGTTATCTGGGCCGGAGTGGGTATCAAGCTTCGAGAAAGACCGAGCTTGGCATGTGCCTGAGAGCCTGGATCTTCCTGCCATGCAGGTTGACTAATTTGACAAATCTTTTTCTATGTTGGTGTTCTGATCCTCTATAACAGAATTGTTTGTGTATTTTCCAGAAGGCATGCAACGTTCTTGTTGGACGTCATGATTTCAGTTCTTTCAGAGCAGCTGCTTGTCAGGTCAGCTTTTCTTTCCTGGATAAGTAGCGAGGTTTCTTGATCTCTTGTTTTACATTTACCTTATATTTCTCTTCTTTCAACCTATTCGCCATAAATCTTGAGTTGTATACAGTATATACTTTTTATGATTTTCCTTTGAAAATATGGAGCAAAATAGGCCTAGTGGAAAGGTAGCTGGCTGAAATATTTTGCGACAGTTAAGAATGCCATTGCATGACAACCGACTGCAGAAACGGACAAAGATGATTACGTAGTATATATTTTGTCAATCTGTTGGATTTTGACTTATGCTCTAGGTTAGAGGAAGACAATCTATTTTTTTCTCTTTACCTTGTTATCAAGCTGTCGAGTCATGATCAATGTTTCAGCTCCATTTAATCATACGCCTCCACTAGCTACCAATTCTTTAGCCATATTAGTTTGCTGAGTTGTTTTATTTTACCTATACTTTATAATCCTTTTGAATGGGCAGTTGACTAGATATTCTGGAAGCTCAAGGCTAAATACTTCTTACTGTTAGTTAAATGATCTTTGTGATCTATCAAACAGAACACTTGGCTAGGCTATTGGTTTAGGAATGTGCTTCCTCTGCATCCAAGTTCCAGTTGCCAATGCGATGCCACAGGACATATGTTGAATATCAAAAGGAATTAAAGGGAAAAGGAAACAGAAAAAGAACTGGACTGACAAATCTTTAAAACTTTTAACTGAACTATGAAATGAGTCTCTCCATTGTGATGGAGATTTATAGTTGTAATCTGTCTTCGGCTGCTAGTTCTACTTCCTTGCTTCTTGATGAATAAAGTTTACGAATTAACCTCATTATGAGTTATATCATGTGAAAATAGGCATTGTAGCAAGTTTGGGTGATTTGTTAATATGGCATAAAGATATAAACAAGACATTATATTCTTAGTGAAAATGCTTATTACGCCTAAATTGTCTTTTATTTCCACTCATCCCATTAAGATTTCCCTAGGAACCCTGGATAAATTTAATATTTTAATATTTAATTCTTGCTGCTTTCAAACATTAACAGGCAAACTCACCCGTCAGAACTTTGGAAGAACTTAATGTTACTGAGGTTGTTTCAACTCCATATTTTCCATCAATCTCAGAGAGACTAAGGAGCAATAGTGTGATGGAGGATCCAACTGTATCCTTGGGTTCAGACACCAACTATTCCCGTACTTCTTTGACCTCCAATGAGGGGAAGTCAGACGGCACAAATGGCGAGGCTTGCCAAGACTTTGGCCTTAGAAGAAAACACCGTTGCTTTGTGGTGACAGCAAGAGCACGATCTTTCCTTTACCATCAGGTTGGTATTTGGCTTCTTCCAAATTTTTGTTGTCTTTCCTTTTACTGGTTTTTTTACCTCCCCAACCAAAAGATATGTTAATAGATGATAAATAAAGTGTAAAAATTGGACTCGGGAAAAGATAATTTTTGTATCAGCTTACTAATTTAGTCTCATTTTTAGGTGAAACGCTTTCATATTCTAGTTTTGTGAAAATTTTGTCGTTTCAGAATAATAATGTCTCGTAGAACCTTTACGTGATCCAAGAATTTGATTTAACATTGTTACCATATTTTTTCCTTAAAATATTTACACATGAAACTTAACAATTAACTCGAACTACTCTTTAGTCTCCTTGCCAAGTCAGTCGTATCACATGAGATGGGTTTGCAGTTTTTCGAGCAACTTTTAGCAAAATTGACTTCTCTTTTTGCTTTTTGAGGTTTGTTTCCGAGAATTTGAGTGGGTGAGCGGTTTTTCTAGATTTATTTAAATAAAGAGAAAGATGGATTTGATGAATTTGGACTAATACATAGATACAAACACTAATAAGACATTTAGTACCAAGCTGATATCATCAAATTTGACATTTTTTATCTCATGCAGGTTAGGCTGCTTGTTGGAGTCCTTAAAGCAGTTGGGGCTGGAGATCTAACAGTTCCTGATGGTATTGCTCTTATGATAAATGTCTTAAATCAGTGGATATAGTGGGTTTTGTCTGACCACTAATTTATCTTTGATGCATCATTTCAGTAGAACGCATCCTTGAAGCAAAATCCATCACTGCTGCAAGTCCGATGGCTCCTGCTTGTGGTCTTTATCTTGGACACGTCAAATATGATCTGCCTCCCGAGACTTGACAAAGCCAATCAACATTTCCCAGTGAACTAGCTTGATGTTCGGTGATGAATTATGCATGTATTTCTAGATCGAGTGGCCTGCACAACTTCTTGTTAACAGCTTGCATATAGTGGCACCTTATGAAACATCACTACTCACTTCAATCCTAGGGGCCCGGATGAGATTCATCCCTCTTGCAATCGAGCAGGCATTGTTCTATTACTAGAGAAATGATTTTGCTCTCTGCAGAAAACATAAAGTGATACTCCAGGATGTAGTTCTGTGATAGCCAGGAAGGCTCTTCTTGAGGAGTTGCAGGAATTAGCCAGTGTTCATTTATGCACTTATTTCCTATTCATTTCACCTTGCTTCTAGTGTTATAAACTGTATGTATTTCTTGCAGAAATAAACCTTATTTTCATTTATGCACTTATTTCCTATTCATTTCACCTTTACTTCCAGTAGGTGCAGTACTATGTTAGACTCTTCAGTATGTTCTGAATGTCAATGACTTATGGTTCAGCAAATGGCTCGCCAATTTCAGTTAACCCGCTTTGTGTGCAAGATAGTTGCAGTAAAGTAGGCCAGGGAATGCTCGAGGACGAACTGAATTGCGTTAAAATCATTATTAGTGAATAGTAAACATCAGATAATCTACAAAGCATCCATTTCGTTAGTTGTAGTCCCTGCGTTTACAAAGAAACGACCAAATAACTTCAAAAAAGAAAGAAGTTACTGGGAGTGAATTTTATCACCCTTAAAGTACACTTGACCTACCATTGACCACTACCAAAAAAGAACAAAGGAAAATCAATGCCATTGACCTCCAAAACTTGAGAATCACACGTTCAACATGCATTAACATCTGGAAAAAGAATTAACCTACTGCATAAACATGGAAATAGCTGCATGAATAGAACTCTTGCGGGCGGAACCCTCACGCTTAACCAGTGAATGCGGTCCATTCCAGACAGATCTTTGATTATCAGCAAACAGGATTCGCGATAACTCCATAACCGTTGGATTTTCAAGATACCGCAGGTTCTCAAACATCTTGGCTTTCTGATACTTGTCTTGCAATTCCTGTACAAATTTTTCACAATGCAATTTCTGTTAAAAAATGCTACGTAGTTTTTTTTTTTTGGTTACTATAATATGCCTTACACTGTAAAACACATGAATCCTCTTAAACTTGAAAATAGCATTATTTCCAGCTTAGTTTTCTCCCAAAGGACAATATGAGGAAAATGATGAAAATAGGTTTCATCTATCAACCTCAACATCGTGAAGAATTCAGTGAACTTGGTAACACAAGACAATTTACTGAATGATTGTTGGCACTTAACATGGACTTAAACTCCAGAATTTGTTTCATGCAATGTTCTCAATTATAGCAGCTCATATCCTTCACCCTGGAATGTTTTTCTTCGGACAGCATTTTTCTTCAGTGTTATTATTATTATTATTTTGCTTCAGTCTTATTATTATTATTATCAGTATTATTTTTAATAAGGAGAGCATTTTCTTCAGTGTGTATCCTAGCTGTTAATTGAGTGGCTACCGTCCAATTGAGCAAATGCAAAGTATTGTATGAACTGATATATGATGATCCTAGATATTTGAATGTGCCTTTTGCATACTGGAATCAAAGGTGCAAACAATACTTTTCCCATAGTATTACCTTTGGCCTCTGTCGCCCAGTTGCTGCATTTTCATCTCCATGCTGCACATTTTCTTTTCGAGTGTCATTCAGCAAATCTCCACCTGGCTCCACATTTTGCTTCTGATGATGTGCTTTACGCTCATATACAGATACATGACCTGACTGCAAATGCTCAGAGGTGACCCCTGCTCTTTTACTTTGGATTCCCATTTCACTCTCCATCTCTTCCTCTAGCTTCTCATGTAAAGCTCCCTGATTTTCAGTCAACTTTCTCTCTGCTCCTTTTTTTTGTAGATTCGCATCACCATCTTGCTCAGGTGAATTCTCCATATTTGATGATGTGTACTCTCGACTTTCTACAGGTGAAGTCCCCTTTTAGAGTGAAAATGGAGAAAGAACAGTTAGTAAGGATGCTAAAAGAACTGCAAAGAAGTAGAGGAACCACGCAAGCTCATATGTGATAATTCAAAATAACCTTCTTTGAAATAAAAAAAAGAGGACACAAAAATTGATGATAAAATTTTAGCATTAGAAGAAGGAAATATGAGAATTCACAACTTGATTATTTATTCCCCTCAAGTTATTAAGGTTGAACTAGCATGTCTAAGATAAGAAATAAAACATAATTACAAGTATCAAATTGTGTCCAACTCATCTTTTTGAGAATGGTAACATTATGTGTGTCCACCTCATCTGGAAGCAAAATTTGTTAGAGAGCTGACAAATTATTTATTTTCATGTCTGCAACACACCTGCCAGGCCGAAATTTTGAAGGAGAAGAACAAATAAACTAATTTTTGAGAAGTTGCACTACATACTGTTTCAAAGTACATATTTAACGAAAAAACGAAGCACATAAAGATACATTGCCTGGCAAAAGACTGAATTGGGATGTATCACAACGAGCTTCATCAATCAAATGACCAGCTAGTACTTGTTAGATATCCTTACAAATTCACGTCTAAATTCCAAGACGGGATACAACTGCAACAAGCTAAAGCATACGATACAGACATTCCAACATTGAGGGGGAGTGTTAAGAATATCGTAATTATAGCTCAAACTTAAATACCAATTAAGGAGACCGTCTCATCTAAGATCAAATAGGATCAATTAAGAAGATTCTTTTTCTATAATTATGTATTCTTATATTCCATCTTTTTTAGAATATTTGTATATTGCTACTTGAATCCAAATAGGCTTTCTCTTCTTTCTCTAAGATTCTTAGGGTCTGTTTGGAAAGCCACTCGGTAATTGGAATTGGTGTAATTACACAGTCTAGTAATTACACAATTTTATAATTACATGTGTACTGTTTGGTTGCACAAGTGTAATTACACAGTTAGATTAAATTTTAAATGAAGTAATTATCAAAACTTAAAACTTAATATAATAAATATATGCCTATAAATGATTTTTTACAAGCATAAATGATATTAGATGTGGTATTTAAGATGTGTATTTTTTCTTGAATATGCATTAATTAGTTATCATATATTTATAACTAATATTGTAAAAATAATTGATATATATTTTTCTAATTAATAATATTTACTTTAATTAATTATAAAAACTAAAAACATACGTCTTGTAAGAACATTATGGAATACATGATGATAAAATAAATTAATATTTATAAATATAATGTCACAACATCATTCAAATGTTTGACAAAACTAATCTATCAATTCTAACTAAAAAATGAACAACATGCCATGTGAAATAACAAGCCAATACTACTAAAACAAGTAAATTGGAATCATAAATATAACATAATTTCAAAATCCAAAAAAAAAAAAATAGTTTAAGATATGTCAAATTCCAGCATAATAAAAATAAGTTCCAATACAACTTAAGATTATGAAACATAATAAGTTTATAACTTCATTCAACAATGAAATTCTACTTTAATGACATCACTCATTATATGCCAAGTCTGCTTAACGACTCATTATTTCTAATATTAGGAGGTGTTGTTTCAAGAACTAGAATAATAACACAGTTACGCTAAATGAAGAAAATAAAACAAATAAGAAATAAAATATATGAGCAATTACATGGAATCACAAGAAGTAAAGGTAGAGAAATAAAAGATAAATAATATATAAAAATACATATATTTAAAAATTTAAAAGTATAAATAAAAATAAAAGAAATTAAAATAATGGAAATAAAAAGTTATAAATAAAATAAATTAAAATAAAAACAAAAGGGAAAGAAATTAAAAAGTAACCTTGTAATTACACAGTGTAATTACCACAAATTCTCACCTCCACTTGAGAATTGGCGAGTGTAATTACACCTCTCCAATTACACCCAATTTCATGTTGACCAAATAATTACTTAGCCAGACAAACATGCCAAACTGTGTAATTACACCCAAATCCAATTCCTAGGTGGCTTTCCAAACAGGCTCTTATTGATTCCCTAATGTTAACCCTTAATTACAAAGTATTCTTAACAGATAGAAATATATAAAACAGCATAGGCAACAAAACAGAAACTATAATACCTCTGGTTTAATCTCCTCTGGATAATCATCACTAGCCTCCTGGTCATCCAACAGCCGAGTGCTCTCCTCCCGCTCTTGCCTGCGTCGTATCATCACACATATAGCACAAAGGCATCCTTCCTTGTGCTTCTTGAGCCTGAAGGAAAGCCAATAAAATCAAGGAAAATAGTTTACATATTAACAGTAAATTGATACCAAACTACCACCTTTAGACAAATTGTAACGTCACCAGTATATAGCAGAAACCGGAAAATCATGCAAAAGTCTGGGGAAGGGAATTATACTTTCTAAAAGAAAACAGAGAAAGAATTTAAGAAAGAAGTGTGATAGTGCTTCTGATTGCGTGACCTTATGATCCAAAAACCAGTAAACCACTAAATATGATTCTGCAACATTCAGATTACCAAATATTAGTAGCTCTTAATTGTGACATTTACTTGACCAAATCAAATGCTATTTCTGCCAGTGTTAATTTTGTTTGGCATTGAAAATTATCGCACTAATATATCTTTGGCCTTTTCCAACTTCTAAGTAATTAAAATTGCCTTTGTATTTTGCTTTAGAATTTTCCTATTCTATATTATTTCCTCAAATTAAATACTCCAAGTCCTCCTAATCAATGTAAAAGAGAATCTCCTTTTACAGAACCTTTGTTGAAGAGTCCATAGCGATATTGAAGCTAGGCTAACTGTAAATTATTAAAATTAAATAGAAACATGGTGTGGAGATTATATATGCAGTTTTCCCATTTACTTTAGGGGCTGTTTGGTAATTCTGACTAGCATCACGAATATGCCAGATCAGATTTATCCAGCATTTAGTAGGTGTTTTTGGTTTCTCTGGATTAAGCCAGTTTCACGATTGTGATAAAATTGGGGACATTGTTGTTAAAGGGCTTAAAGCGCGCTTATGCTATGAAACTCGGTGAAACGCAGGTTGCGCACTTCGCTTCGCTTAGTTGGCATTTAATGTAGGTGTCAAGGTATGAAGGCATATATATATTCACCAATTGGCTCTGTCTTTAAGAGCACATCACTAGACAAGAAATATAGTGACAAAATGGTACATTAGTTGTTACACAATCGTCATGATTGAACTTTTAGAGATTATGAATAAGAAATTGGATATTTTTGGCATAAGAAAAAACTAGCCACTGAAAACCTAAAGCTATATCTTTTGTTCTATATCAGTATTTTAAAATGGCATCTGAACTCGATTGACATGATTTTAACTACAAATAATTAACTTACTTGCAGTTTCCCATCCTTCTCCCTTACCATTATCTGGTTTCCTATCCTGCATGCCCGAGCAGTGACCTCCCTCCAAAGACTTCTTTCTGTCGAGTGACTTCTCTCCTACTGTCGACCTCCTTCAAGATAAGGTCACATGCATTGCATCTAGTTCACCATCTCCCCTCCTGCCAATGGAGCAATCCATTTCCTGACATCCCTTTCTCTGCTGCCCATAACCAGTCGTTGAGCTCCACTTCTCTCTGCTCGCCCCAGCGATCTCGTCCTTCTATGGAAAACATCCCCCCCCCCCCCCCCCCCCAAAAAAAAAAAAAAAACTCACCCTGCTAATGCCACAGGTAGCGACTCTCTATCACTAAATGGCTTTATTCTTAGGGTCGCCAGCAAGAATGCATTTTCCAAACTGACGGAAAAGATGCTTACCATCCAAGAAACTACACAAAATTTGCCTATAACTATGAGAAAGCAAAAGGTACAGCCAATTATCATAAGAAAAGAATTTCTTTGGTATAAGACAAACCCAGAAGAATAGGATTAGTTGTGGCACACAGCTGCTCCATAAAGGCGATGAGGCTTAAAAATATTGCAATTGAGATATCTAGTATGGACAGGAGTATAGCTGTACATTCTCTGTTTGAGAGAAAATATATGATTTTCAATGACGTCTTATCTTCCATCTCCTCGAACCCTTATCAATAAATGATGCGCAATTGCTACATTAACGGATAAAAAAAAAATTCATCTTTATAAACCTTTTTCTGGTTAGTTTTATGATAATAAGTGTTCAATTTCTCTACATGTACATTGTACAAACATGTCTAGACCCTGCATAGAAGTGATAGCCAATGAGGAAAGTATGTAATTAAAGCATACAGCAACATACCCTTGAAGCTTTTTGTTCTTCTGACTTAAGGAACCACCTTTTGTAGGTTCCTTTCCATGACTTGAAGGTGTAGTGTCCTTAGTTTGACTGCTTTCGGCACCTAATAGGATAAGAAGACGTGAGTTAAATACTGATTAACGACAGTTTAAAGGCTCAAACAAGGAGAACATAAGATAGAAGAAATTATTTAGTGAACATGTAAATTAATGCTTTTCCATAACGATGAAGTATTTTATGATGATATGTCAAATTGTATGCAGACACATAAGGGAAAAGAGAAATTTGGAAAAGAAGTGAAATTTTACTTAGTAAATGCAGAAGAAAGAAGAGAAAGGAACAAAGGGACTCCAGAGGCATATATCTCTTCCAGCCCTAAACCAAACTTTGATACTTTTTGCAGTCATATAAACAAATCTACCTGCTTCAAGTATGGAAACGAACAGACAAAACCACAAACCAAGACAAACACGTGCCAGTAGATAGTTGGCATAGAGTAGACCATTCAAAATTGATGAACAATGCTTAATAGCTAGGCGTGCAGGAAAGGAAGACAAACATATAAGCAAATTCAGCAGATTGATACTGGTATGAAAATAGATTAAGGCACTAGAGAGATTTACTTTGCATATGATCGCTGTATAAGCCAGCTGCTGTCCAGTACTTTGCAAAGTTCTTTTTCACCCGCTTCATGAGCTCCANAATAATGCTACAAGAACTTGTTATACGCGAACAGCGGAAGTTGGTCCTGCCAATACCAAAAATATACAGAGGACTTTTCAGCCAACATGAGAACCATTTACAATAGCTTTAATCAGTGTAACAAATTTTACAGATATTTACTTGTCAAAACCCTCTCACAGGGACATGGAATGCTCGGTGTTGAATTAGAACCTACAAAGCCAACTCTAGAATACATTACTCCTACTATGGAAGAAAGATATTAGAAAAGTTAATTATTTACTTACAGGAATTCCAAGAGCGATAGGATCAACTGGAACATTGAAGGGCTCTGCAGCATCCATTTTCATAATTTTTCTTATAACCTAAGTAGACAGGAAATAAAATTAATTTAGCATAGAAGTTATATCTTTAAGATATCTTTACAAACTTGCATCTTCGAAGCACGGTAAAACAATATGTTTGGTTCCATGAAAGGGAAGGGGAGTGGAAAGGAAAAAGAAGTTCATTGATATACTATCCATAAGCGGAGGTAAGGGTGAAAGAGAAGTAAAAGATATATAATTTATCATATTCGTCCAATTTTGGAGGGACTAAAAAGGTTAATATGGAGGGGTAACCCTCCAATTCTACTTCCCCTCCGCTTTTACTTCCTTACCAACTAACAGCTATAACTCATAACCTTCAAAACCAACACATATGGAATATGTTAAAATTGTGCATCTTCTGAACATGCCATTACAAATAGAATAGGTTTCTTTGTCCCGCTTACCTCCAAAGCAGTGTCTAGCTCCTGCTTGTTGAATCTCAAATCACGGCGATGTAACTCAGGCTCTTGCTGTTTTGTCTTCTCTTCCTTCATCATTTCAGCATTACTACAAGGGCTCATGCTTGAAGAAAAGCCCTTTGAAGACTTAATCTTTATGCCTCCAGATTTTTTTGGCACATTTCCAGTGGTAGTTACATTATCCTCGGGCAATGAGTTTGCACTGTCTTCCATTTTCTCATTAGAAGCAACCTGTTTTTCTGGACCAGCTTGCTGGCTACTTTTATCAGTATCACTAGGAGTAGCTGCTTCGGAAGAGGTACGCTGGGATTCTAACAGTTTTGAAGTTTTGATCTTTACTTTCATACGCCCATAAACTGCTAAACCTGCAGGTTTATCCCTTGGCGCACCAGAAGTAGCGATTACAGGTTTTTCCGGTATACCAGTTACGGTAGAAGATGGTGTCTCAGCCTCAACTCCAGAGTCAACTCCATCATTGTCAGATTCTTCTGTACCAGAATTTGTTTCTGTATTCATACTACCATTATTAGGTGCCTCCTCACTTGTTCCAGTTGTTCGAGGCTTCTTTGCTTTACCTTTTCTGCTTCCGCGTCGACGCTTCATCTCTTGGGAACAAATCGAAATCTTAAAGTGAGCAATAGTCTTTAGTCAGTTGACACTCTCAAAAGGACAAAAGCAGGTTGTATATCTCGCACTAGGCTGCTTCAAGCAGGAAAGTATTGTCAGCCTACAAAAACCGCGATAAACAGGACCCAGTTAGAATAATCACCCAATTAAGTGCCAAACTATACAGAACTAATCCCAAAACATATTATCGCAATCAGGTGCATACGAAATCTATCTCATCAGTAATTCAAAAGCCTACTTGGGCATAAAGCACCAATTTGTTTGTGTATAAACTTGACATGGATCTCCTGCACCTCAAAACAACATAGTCATTGATTTTAAATTAAGAAGAAATTACAATACACTTCCAGTTTATGTTAAAAAATGGATCTTGGGCCTAACTCGATTCCTAAAGCTAGCTCATGAGGTGAAGATTGCCCAAGTTCATATAAGAAGACCAGATATCCACGTCCCACCTGATGTTCGACAATTCCAACAGTTTTGGCAAGAATTTTGCTGTGCAAGTCTCTTCCATTAAGAAAAGTTAACTAAACATACATGTACTCTTCAAAAACAACCTGCTGAACACACACAGTTAATGGATATATTGAATCTCTTTTCAGAACACAGAAAAAGGGATTGAATTTTAAAATTACCAACATGGGGAGCACAACAAAATCAAACCCTAGAATCCACCAACAATCAAGTTATAAGAGAAAAGACAGGAGAAAAACCAATCTAATTTAAACCATGAATTAATCAGCAAAAACAAGAACTTCTGACAAACCAACATAACCTAAAAACTACAATGAGAATTAGCAAAAGAAAAAAGAAAAGAAGAGCTCGAAATATGAGAATGAACGATCAAGAACTTCAAAGCTACAATCTTGGACGACCCAATAAATCCCATTATGCAAAACAAGAGAACATACGAGGAAAAAATTAAAATCCCACAATAAAAATCCCCAGCTAAGAGTAGGAATCTGTAAAAGAACCAAAGATTTTAGGTAGTTAAGGGCTTGAGGCTAAGAGTCCCACCTTTTCCTTTGTCGTTTTAGCCGTCAGTTGGAAAAGCTTACTCTTTTCTTTTTGAATCTCCCTCGCTTATGCCTTGATATACGTTGTCGAAAAATATTTGAAAGGACCCCGAAAACACAAAAGCGATTTCGGAATTACAGAGGAAATCCACAAAAAACCCTTTTTCTTTTTTCTTTAGTTTTCACTTTGCCCTTTCCCTTTCGACATACTGCAATTAATATAGAATTTTCTTATATAAACACTAACCCACCAATTTTTGAAAATTTTCACCTAGCTCCCTAATCTTTTACTTTTGAGTAAATTACGCTTTTAGGACCTAAATTGTAGAGCCGCGTGCAAGTTAAATGACTGATTATCCTAATAATGTTGGAGGCGAACAACTTTCTTTGATTAGACATTTTTTGAAGTTGGAAACCTGTTTTTAGGTAAAGAATTAGCAATTGCCAAACTTAGGAAAACAAATTATGTGTTCTTTTCTTTTCTTGACATATTATCATGTACCCTAACAAGCAAAATGAAAAAGGAAAGAAAAATGAGAAGCAGGGTGTATGGGCCAAAATCCGCCCTGAGGGTATTTGGCCTAATATGGCATTAAGGATAGAGTCGGTCGAGGTCGACCAGAAGGCAGCAAAATTCGTGGCCGAGGTGTCAACCATGATCGAGGTCAAGCACCGCATAAAGGATAATAATATCTAGTTTTCATAGTAAGATATTAGAGAAAATATTCTACTGAATATTCTCTGCATTTGTACTATTATGGTTTACTAAGGATATGTGTTGAATATATAAGGGAAAAAGAAAAGGCAGAAAGGCATGTAATATTCATTTGATAAGAATACTTTTCAGAAGAAGAATTTCTCCCTCTAATAAAAATACAAAGATTGCTTTTTGATAAAGATTCTTGCTCATATTATTCCATATCTTTTCACAAGATCCGAGGATTATTCAAATAAATCTTGGATCTTTCTATCACTCATTATTGTCAGGAGAAATATTCGTCCAGTCCATCCATTATTTGGTGAATCATTCTCCTTATTTACTCAAATGTCATCTATTGATATTTATTGCTAGTTACACCTCCATTATTGCTCACACTTTGAGAATATTTCGCACTTATTGTCATCAATCATTCACGGGGCATGTCCCCTCCTCCTGCATATTTTTAAGATCTGCATCTAGAGTTATTATCCTTAACTAGAGTTAACCCATCATTATATAAATTTAATAGTTTAATCAAAAGTTATACTTTTTGGTCAAACAATTTGGCGCCGTCTGTGGGGATTTTCTAGCTAAGTCTTTTAGTTCCTTCTAGATCTACAATTGACACTGGTTACTAACGTAAAAGAAAACAACAACAAAACAAGAACATTTTCCTCTCTGCATGCATATATCTGATATGACAGGTAACAGAGAAGAAAGAACGAGAATAATGAGCGACCTCCCAACCAACCTCTTGAACATCATCCACGAAAGCTCTGAAGCAGTGGACGAGGACACAACGCCTAATGCCTCTCATAGGCGAGGTGGATCACCCCCTCCCCAGTGCAGCATTACAAAATCTCTTGGTAAGACAGCCTCCACATCCGTGGAAGAGGAGGCACTACCCGCGATAAAGAAGCTCCTCGAGGCCTGGCTAACCGATACACTGACCAACGTGGATCGATAGAGCATTTCCAATGTTAAAAAATACGCAATTGGCGGTATTTAAAAATATTCTTGACCCGCACACAGTTATTGCTTCTACCGGATTAATAGAATTTATTTTATATTTACTTAACCTAGATGTTAAGTTATTCATCAAAGTTTACCAGGTTTGCATAATTTTGTTCTTCAAGAATTTCTCTTCCGGATTGTTAGATTATGATATAGTTACTTTACCTATTTGTTAAGTTGTTCATGAAGTTTATCCAATTGATATAATTTTTTTGTATTATTTTAACAAAGCGTTCTTAGAATTTGCAACTTCAATTTCGATCAAACCACCCCAAATCTGCTCCAAATTATCTCATATTTCAAAAAAAAGCTTTCAAATACCAACATAACTAATCTTAAATCACTAATTTAGTCAAATAACACTAATACAAAAAGACTCACTTTGTGTTCTTCAACACTTCCTAAGGTCCACCACCAAATAAAAATTTCAAGCTTAAAATATTAAAGAATTATGGTGTTTAAGTTAAAAAAAAATATAGGGACATTTCGCCTAGACCAATTTTATTGGGAGACGTGCCATGCATTTTTTTTAGTTAGTATAAGGCTAAGGCCTAGTGATCCAATTGCCATATTAAGGTAATCACGTCAACTTCCAAGCATGATTGTTCGATTTCTACCTCAAATACTTTTTCTTTTCCAAATTTCAACCAAATTAGCTCCAAACTCAAATGATGATGGAGTTCAGCTATCAAGCCCAGATCCAGGCTGACCTTTCCATATTGGATCTCTTATCGCGTAGGCTTTATTTTTATTTAGGGACCCGGCCCTTGTCCGATTTACTTAGACAAACATTGTACATATAACTAGAACTTTCATTTCTATTTTTAATCAACAAGAATTATTTTTTTATTTACCTTACGTGTCTAATATCAGTTATCTCTTTTCGTTTTAGACACTAGGGTTTCGTCTCCTTCAATCTTCATTTTCATGGCAATTATATGGCTTAACATGGTATCAGAGCGGAGATCCGCATAGTTCTTGACAAGTTCTTTCGATTCATCGGTTCAATTTTTTGATTTTGTTAATTTTTGATTTGTCGGTGACGGACAGTTCGTGTCTTCTTCGGGACGAATTTGGGGTTTTTCTCGAGAAACGACTACGGAAGCTTGCTCTCCTAGCAAACCCGGCAATATCTTCCAATTTCTCAAGATGTTTGATCAATGTCATAAATTTTGTGCTCTAGTTTGAGATTTTTATTGCTATTCTTTGTGTTGCATATTGTATCTGATGTCACTGATACATGCATGTATATTTTTCGGTTTTAGAACTTCTGGTTTAGTTACTTGTGCTTTGTATTGTATGAATCATTTAATTGCCAGTTGATCGATAGTGTTGGTTAGTGAATATGAGTACTGACGCTTCCACAACCTCCTCAACTGTTGAATCCACCATCAGCCATTCCATTGACTCTTCCCACCCTCTATATGTACATCTATCTGATAGCCTAGGAAGCTTACTTGTACCAGTACCTTTTAATGGAACTAGTTATGCACCGTGGAAGAAAAATATTCTCATTGCATTGTCTGCAATAAACAAGGCTGGGATGATCAATGGAAGAATCTCCCAGCCACCTCTTGGTTTCCCTCCCTATGATCACTGGGGAGATACAACAACATGGTATTTGTATGGTTAAGCAATTCATTTTCCAAATATATTGCTGATAGTGTGTTGCATTGTGACACTGCATGGGAGATTTGGAGAGATATAGAGGAGAGGTATGGGTAGTTTAATGCCAGTAGGTACTATCAAATTTAGAGAGAAATTGCAGGTGTCTCTCAAGGGTCTTCTGATATTGCCAATTATTACACCAAACTTAGGAAGTTATGGGATGAGTTGAAAACTGCTTCTTTTGGTCCATCTTGCACTTGTGGGGCTGAACCACAATGTAGTGAAGGGCAAAAACTCATCCACTTCCTAATTGGGCTCAATGACACCTACTCCAATATGAGAAGGAACATCTTAATGATCACTCTTGTAGCAACTCTAGGAAAGGCTTACTCTATGCTCCTTAATGATGAAAACCACAGGGAACTTCAATCATCAGGGGCCAATTTCCTCTCAGAATTTGCCTCATTTTCTGTATAATCCTCTCATGCTCCAACTTCTGCCCTTGCTCAGCCCAATACTAGTAACAAAGTTTACACTTAGAGGGTTAATTTTGACAATAAGAGGGTCACTGGTGTTTGCAAATATTGTAATAAGCCTGGAAATTCTATTGACAAGTGTTACAAACTCCATGGCTTCCCAGTAGACTTCAAATTTACTAAGGGAAAGAAGTCTGCAGCTTGTGCTCAAATTGATGAACTTATGATGAATTCTTCATCATCCTCTGAAGGCCCAACATGTGCTCCTACTCATGGGTTTACCAGGGAGAAATATCAACACTTGATGAATCTTTTTCAATAATCTTATCTAACCACACCAGTTCAGGATCTTCCCACTAGCAATGCTGCCATGCGTGCCTTTGCAGGTGTGTTCTGCAGTCTTGCTGTATATTCTGTTATCTTGTGTTGTGCTTCATACTTAAAGACAAATACTAGGATTCTAGATTCAGGAGCAACCAATCATATGACACCTCACAAAGATCTTTTACACAACATTCAACCTTTGCCTTTGCCTTTTCTATTAACACTCCCAAATTGTTAGAAAGTAAAAGTCACATGCACTGGCTCTTTAAATTTTATTGCTGATTTTACTTTATCAAATGTACTCCTAGTTCCTTCTTTTCAGTTCAATCTCATTTTTGTTCCCCAATTAGTTTCCCAATTCAATTGCGCAACCTTCTTTGCCAAATTTTTTTGTCTTATACCAGGCTTTTCTCTGAAGAGACAATTGGGAATTGGTAGAGAACAAAATAAGTTGTATGTCATTCAATCATCTTTTGAGTTGCCTAAACTTGTTTTATCTGTAAATACCACTTCAGCTACTACTTTTTTACCTAGTGCTTGCACTACTCTTGTAATCATGTTACTTCAATCAATAAATTTGATTTCTTTTGGCATCAAAGATTAGGTCATATGTTTTTATCTAGAATAAAAACTATCTCTTGTTTGTCTAATAAATTATCTTCTAACCAATCTTTTACTTGTTATGTGTGTCCTTTAGCTATGCAATAAAGACTTTCTTTTCCAAATAGTTCTATTAAGTCTACTAATTGTTTTCAACTTATTCATATTGACTTGTGGTGTCCCTATCATACTAGAACATACAATGGATACTTTTTGACTATTGTGGATGACTACTCTAGAGTCACTTGGATTCATTTACTCTCCTGCAAAATCAATGCTTTCAATCTCATTAAAGCATTTGTCTTCATGGTTAAAACTCACTCTCACACTTCTATTCAAATATTTAGATTAGACAATGTTTTTGAACTTGGATCCAGTTCTCAAGCTACTTCTTTCTTTGCTGAATCTGACATCATTCATCAGACCACTGTACCTCACACTCTTCAGTAGAATGGGGTAGTTGAAAGAAAACATAAGCA